AACAGTATATCACATTCATACATTCTGAAGTATCAGAACAAAGCATACAGGCTACATGTTGACACACATCTGATAAATATATTCTGACCTGCATTCTCATTGTGCTATGAGAACAGGATTTCCTCCAGACACAAAGCTTTAACAGAGGGCCATACTGATTAAACACACTGGCTAAACTTGGCTCTCTTATGGACATTCCTGCTATTCATATCAAAGGTCCTTCAGTAGCGGTGAGAAACTGCAGATCAGTCAAAGCATACTATACCTACACAACCTCACACAATTAAGACCTTTATGTTTATCTCTCTCAAGACAGATGGGCAGTCCAATTCATTAAGAATATAATGCCAAAAACAATGGCACAAGCCTGTTTAGTCATAAATAAAGATGGAATTCGGATATTAAAGATCTTAAAATGAAGATTTTGGGTGAATCTCTTTAAAATAGGTGAAATACTCCTTTAAAGATGTTTCCTAAACGTGTTTTCAGCAGATGTCTTTCTTACCTCTCCATAATCTGTGGTGAGGATGAGGGTCCGGTCATCGCAGCAGCTGACGGTGGAGGGCAGGAGCTGCTCCTTATCCCGCACCCACACACGAGCTCCCTAAAAGACAGACAAACTGTATGAGACACTAAACACAGCAAACCAATCAAGAACAGCCATAAAAAGGTACAAGCATTAAAGATTCGACCTAAGAAGACATTTCCTTCCTATTGCGGCTGGTACAGAAATTAAATATGTATGTATATGGAGCAGGCAATGTTATGTGCTTCTAAAAAGAGCTGAGGACAGAACAAGATGATACAGAGAGAATATCACTGAGCAATTTCAATTGATCCAATAGCAGTCAGTGATCTCAACCACAGCCCATCATGGTCTTTCCTTCATCATCATTAAAGCACCACAGCCATTCCATCTCGCTACGCTTTCATTTCATAGACATACAGTGGTGCATTTGACTGGGAAAAAGCTCCCTCCCAATGGGTTTAAACGCACATTGTGGGCACATGGGCAGTACAGAACACTATTCATGCCAACAGCACATGCTGCAAAGCCCTTTGGCAGCACCAAACCCTGTACTTGTCCCAGTGTAAAAAGAGATAGTTGTTTCTCATGGCAGTGTTATGAAGGGGCCTTTGCTTGTGCACTCGCCACCATAATAGGGTGTTTTGAGTGGATGCCAGGACATTGCTAAGTAATTTCTAGGGTGCTCTGGATGGTTGCTTACTGGCTCCAAGGCAATAAAATCAAATCCCAAGTCTGATCACTCTGAAATGTAATAGCAAACTTGACATGACTTATTTCTGTGGACAACCCAAGTTTGTTCTTACAATTACAGTCAATGGGGTCCAAAACAACATTGGAACAACATAGGTTTGGAATGACATGAAGGTAAGTAAATGATTTAGATTTAGATTTAGATTTAAAAATTTAGATTTTTGGGTCAACTATGCCTATAAAGTTTGTTCAAAATCTCTGATGATGAAAACAGCTTCAATGAAAGGGTGGTCTAGCTATGCTTTTGTCTAATTGTGTGGCATGCTTTAAACAAAGCCGCCAGCTTCCATGTTTTCAATCAGAAGGCCAAGAACGCAGAAATGGAGATCATGTAAAAACAGGAAGACACAAGTCTGGCTGCTAAGACCACTAGTAATTTCCTTCTGTTGTGAACCCGAACACTGTCTTAAGAGCTACTAACACCAAGGACGATAACGAAAACTATAACTATAAAGTTATAGTTTTAATTCAATAGGAATAGGGACATTAATACCACAACTATAATAATAACAATGACGCAGAGGATTCATGGTGTTGGAATCACTTTCAGAACAAAAAGAAAAGTCGACTACTAGCTATTTTTGTAACTAGCGGTTAGTACATCCACCTGACTTTAAATAGCTTAAACATTTAAAGCGACAGATGACAGAACTGCTTATAATAAACAGGATAACACAAATATAGTTCGAGTTATCTTTATAGTTATCGCTCTTGGTGTGAATGGCCTTTTAGTGTGTATGGTGTGCCAGGTTCTGATGGCCCTCACGTTGACTCTGACAGGCATAAATCTCCACAGTGCGGCCATTCAGACGGCCAATGGAGTGTTGAGAGAGTAGTTTGTCCAACAGCACATGAGAACCAAAGGATCAATGGGAACGGCTTCCACCACGAAACCCAAGCCCCAAGGTCAGAGCTCAGGGACATCAATCCTCATTAACTATTAATAATGACCTGACATGTGCAACAGCACTGGGTCCCGTAGGCAGCATGTGCAGGCACACGCACAATATACATCCACTCTTTCCAAAACACACAGTATGAAGATGATCATAGACATATGATACACTGGAAAGGAGATGTGGATTATAATGAGGCCAGACACATTCAAGGCTTCAATTGGAGGCATTCATTAAAGGGATAGTTGACCCATAAATGAAAATTCTATCATCATTTATTCACAATCATGATGTTTCAATAGCTATTTAAACCCATTTGACTTACTTTCCTCTGTTGGATGCAAAAGGGGAAATTTATAAGAATGTTCGTGCTGCTATTTTCCAAATAATAAAAAAAATAATAATTGTGGATAGATTTCAGTTTGTTCCTCACAAAGCTATTGCATGACATCATAAGACTTGGAATTTGCACAAGTTTTATGCACTTCCCAGACATTTTTGTGGTGCTTTTTGTCATTTTTGGAGCTTGATAACACCTGGTTACCATTCAATTCTAACATTTTTTCTTTTATTTTAAAATAAATGTAATGTACTGTTAAAGCACTATACTTAGCCTTGCATTAAATAACAGAAAACGAGTTTACACTGCTGTGTAGGTATTTCTAATACATACTGAGAAAGTGATACAAAACTACGTATCTTTGTCTCTTCTGACCACCATAATCAATCTCTCAATATTTCTTTCCTCTTTTGGAGAGTCATAAAAACACTATCTCTTTTGCTATTGGAAGAAATGGGAACACAAAAAAAGTGTCTTGTTTGTTGTAGTGTCTTGTTTACTACTATAGAAATTTACCTTTGTGTCATCTCTTTTCCATATGTGCCACACAGCATCATGTCCTGTATCAAAAGGATCTTTTTCAGGTTTCAAAAAAAGCCTCAAAGCCTTGTTAAATGTAGCACTAATGCTTTGGGGCTATGGGACTGAGTTAAAAGGTCTAGAAGAAAAGAAGAGGTGGGGAGGTTAAAACTGTATGCTAATGTGTTCCCATTATTTGACAAGCAGAGGAAGAAAGCCAACATTCAAATTCTCTGACATGTCCAATCATCACACATGCGTGAGACTAAATATGACTACCTCCATCAGTTAATGTGTGCCATAGGCGTTCACTGACAACAAAATACCTTTACTTACAGGAATACAATTAAAGCAGCTAAAGGGCATCATTTTATTGAGCTGGAATCATGGATCAGATGAGAGAGACCAGCCAGGTCTGTGACTGGCACGAGAGGAAAATTATTTAAGCACAGGACTCTGAAAAGCTGTTTCACGTGACCTGACCAAACTGAATTACATCCGAAGCAGGGTCTACGGATTTAAGAAGATCAGATGCCATTGTTATATAATTCTCATTTACAGCATTTGCACTTCATGGCACATGGTGTCATTGAATTACTTGTGTTTAATCTCATAGATTAAAGGAAGTAAACATAAGAGTCTTTGCAATAGTTGATTGACTGCATTAAAAGTGGTGGGATTATTCAATTGTTTTGTGTTTAATTGAGCAATAATATATATGATGAGTGAATAAGACCATTAGTGCATGCAACCAACTCAAAAACTAACATACATAAAATATGAATATGATAAATCACATAATGGATAATAATCCAGCTGTATTCATCATAAATAAATGGGTATTGTGGGTTGGGCACTATAATGATTACTACACATAAATAATTTTTAAAAATGGCATGGGAAGAACTAATGTATTAACTTCTTCATGATTCAGATAACTGTGGTTCAGACTGCTGAAATCTATCATTTTGTGGTGGAAGAATAAGGATTAACTTTCATGGAATATTCAAGGATAATCTTAATGTTTCCCTAAGGAATGCTCAAATAATTAATGTTAGGCATTATGAAAAAAAATTTGACAAAAAAATTAATCATGACCATTTGAACTTGTCCATATAGTCAAAAATAATACCTCAATGCAACTACATTTCAAAGCAATCAGACTGATGATTTTGCTTGGTGGATGATAAAACGGGTGAAAAATATTACATATCCCAAGCTGTATCTAGGGAGCAGATTATCATAGAAACTCTTTGACTTGGGCTAGTAAACAACCACCCTAGCAATTGATCTTTCATGTCTACAAAGAGAAATACAGCCAAATAACAGATGTTCTCTACTCAAGGACACTCAATGTCAAGTAGCAGCAAAACGTGTGACTTTTCCCCCCATTACCCTATTTAAAGGCAGAATGGACAGAGATAAATTACAGTTATAGCATCTGGCCAAGTAGAGCTATTGTGCTCAACAAATATCTTTTTCCCAAAACCTTACCATTTTTTACTGCATTACCATGTAATGTTTTTTTTTTTTAAATCATGCTGAAACAGCAACGACGGGTTCTTCCTTGAGGTCCTGTATTTCATATTTATTTTGAGAGAACTCAATGGAGAAGAAGAACTCTGAAAGTCTTATAATATCCCCACTATAATGACAACGTTTTAGACCAGACATGTTTCCACTGGCACTGCTGCAAACCACCGTATGATGTCATCGATTATGTGGTGAGGTTAACAGATTTTCCAGAAGCGAGCTCCATGATGCATGCCTCTGAAAGGACAGCAGTGTAAACCTGCTTTGTGCACGGGGCGTATTGTATAGGCAACAGATGGTCACAGAAACACAAACCTCCTCCTCCTTCCATTCTCTCCTCCACTTCCATCATTTCATCCCCTCCTTCCCCCACCTTTCCATCACCTCGGCCGTCTCAAAGCAGAATGGTCATGCTTGGGTCCCAGAGGGCAGCCGAGCGGAAATCCCTCAACAAAGGCCAGCTGGGCAACTCCAAAGCAGGGTTTTGTCTGTCAAACTGCAGCGCACGTGCAAACAAAATAACTCCTTCATATTATATCTCATTATAGTCAGAGACATGAATCAGCTCCTTTCAGCTGGAACGCCATTGAATCAATTAGATAGTTGACTGACATTCTGCTCTGCAGCACATAGCATATCTTAATGATTTTATGACCAATTCATCTGTGCATGGGTTTCTTTTTTTACTGTTTTGATCTTGTCATTTTTTAATCAGAATATCATAACTGAATCTTCCAGTGAAACGACAGGCTACTCCCTGGATTCTCCAATCATTCAGTCGAAGTTGATGAATTAAATTCAAAGGATCTTAATACTTAACAGTAACTGTTAACTGCTAACACAGAAGAGTAAAATAGTCCCTTGCCCTTTAAAACAGAAAACATAGTTTAAAACACTCTGTCACTCTGAACCCTCACAAAAGGCTACTATTACCTCTGTGTTTAACGGTGCCAAATTTGGAGGAGATTTGCTAATTAATGAGCCTCAATCATTAATGAGACTACACAGTGCAAGGTGGCATGTCTCTTTCTCCTTGT